GCATCCCCAGTACCAATGACCCTGCAAGCTACTCACCAAGCTTGCAAGCTTCCGGCGCCGCCGCGTCGGTTCGCGCCCCCTCCTGACAATCTCAAACTCGATCCTGCGAACCTGTTCGCACTAATCAGAATCGCCGTCAATGGCCGTTGTTGGTGTCTTTACGGATACATCGCTCGGTTTTTCCCCTCACGAACCGTCATGGCCCCTGGTCCCTTACCACGCCTTTATAAAGTACGTGCTCCGCTAGTATCGGAGCTCTGCCCGATCCCGCGACGGTCTGAAGACTGCCTCCGCCGACGCCGTTTGGCCGGAAATCTACGTTGACGTTGTCATTCTACTGTCATCAACAGATCAGCAAAGGAACTTGGAATAAGAAATTCCGATAAGCTCCAGACTTTGCGCTAGCATAAACTATCCGAATTCGTGCTTTTGGCGTTGGCCCGGGTGTTTTGGAATGCTTTCCGGTCCTCTCAGTTCAATTCAGGGTTTCCGAGGTCCAACAACCTGGCGCAGGGAACATGCTTCTTGGCCATGTCCTCGGCATGAGTTGAGATGGCAAACATCGTGGGGAGTGGAGTCGACATCTCAGCCCAACTTCGAAATGCTCCAACTTGGGGCAAACAGAGAGCTTCAGCCTTCGATACCTTACTTGTCCTCCGGATGTCTTCCGCGGCCTAGCCTACGCGATACCAACATAGGATATTTCCTCACAGCCTTGAGCCAACTTGCATAATCCGGGACACTTCCCCGTCGGATGAACACAACGCCTTTGCAGGAAGCCTGTTGCACAACAAGACGAAGTCATCCGTCAGATCCAGAGGCAACGAACGACCCGATTTTGACCAGAAGTCCCAAGCCCGGCCACAAACTGGACGGACGTGCGTTTAGTCAGTCTCTTGGAGCCACTGCCCAACGACACTACCTTAATTGCAGATACTACTGTTCGGGCCGTGTTGCTTAGCACTTGCCCACTTCGTCTCTCCGTAACCGCTAAACGCCACTCGCGCTCCTTGCATCTGCACAAGATCAAATTAGGAAAACGGCGAGGCTCGTCCCAATGAACTCTGAACTTCTTCGCTGACCTTGAACAGCTTCACCGATCGCGCTCAACCTCATCTCAGAGCACAGCGGAGCAGCTGCAGCTCTATCACGTTCGCTTGTGACGACAACCCCCATGCATGCATATGCAAGACCGCTTTGGAGCACCGCAACGCGTCTGCAGGAAATTTTATCTTCCGTAAGCGAATGTTATGCGCTTGTGCTCCAGAACAGAGTGCATTTTGCGCTAGACTGCAACTGTCGAGAAACGGGTTTGGGGGGATTGACCCATCAGAGCCCACAGTTCAAAACCGCTCGCCGTTGGACCTCGCATCGGTTTTGAGGTCACTTTGAGCATTCAGTCGTGATACCTATCTGATCTGTTCTGAATATTGACCAAGGCCAATGTCGCCAGCATAAAACGGGCTTTCCTTCCAGGCGTCAATCCAACGTAATTGAGAACGTCGCATCGCCGGAATTCTACCGCCACAGCCCCATCACTCATCAGAATAGTACCACCTCGCGAAAAGCGTCATACGAGCCGAACCAGAGTTTGCGCAAAAGATGGGGTTGGTCATTTCCCATCACCTCCCAAATCAGCCTCATCCCTTGACCAACCGAGACGCCCCATTCTTTTGCAAACTGCAGGAAATTTCGTCCGCAACCACGATTGCTTCGGATGAACTGCGCCACGTGGGTTAACACCATCTATGGCACGAGCTTTCGAAGCTGTTTTTAGTTTTTGACTTGTCGGTTTTCGAGTTCCCAAGAGCTTGGGCAACCTTACGTCTCGTGCATGAAAGCTGCTGTTCATCTCAGATGCCAAGATTTCCCGGTTGGTCTGGATAGCCGCGCGAACACCATCAGTGCGCAATGGACGAGATGTGCTCGCCGTCGCCCTGGTCCTTGAGTCTTTCCCCGCCTCGCAGGCTAAATTTACGGGGCTCGCGAACTTTGCGGGCTTCGCTGCGACACTGTCATACTGCTTGATAACGAGTAACGTAGGAGTCCATTGCCGAGAAGACGTCGGAGATGACAGTGTCCCGATGAAGTGCGAAGCTGCCGAGAAATGTGCACTTGGGTTGGACGGGCTTGGATCGAATTAACATCAGACGGATTGGCAAGCCACGACAAGCTCTGGGTTTGTGGAATCGGATCTCCACGAGCAGCCGGAAGACTTGCGCCCGAGAAGAGAAGTTTGTCGGCCCAGCAGCCGTAATCGGGTATTAGTGTTTGTTGGCGGCTAAGTTCGTCCCAAGTGACTGCTGTGTTGAAATCGGTCTCGCATGCTCGGGCCGGAGATCCCAGAACCAAGTGATCTCGAGTCAGGGTAAGTGTGCCCAAAGTGAGGCCGATCGTTTTAGTTGAGTGAGGTTGAGAGAGCGTAGTTCCTCACCTGATGGAAGGCCATGTTCTCGTCAAAAGCCTCGTTGTCATGCTCAAAGAATACACTAGCCGGCCCTGGTATCAAAGTAAAGCAATAACGACCCGGGGTTGTATAAACGAGGCGTTATGTAAAGCGAGATGAGATGCTGTTCTTCGACGAGGATTTCTGGTCAGCAACGGACTGCGAAAAGCCTCTTGCTTGACCACGGCATATCGGACATACGTGAGAGCGAGCGTATTCCACTCTTCGGTTTCGCAGCCAGCTCTCCGTGCCGTAGTTCCTGCTTTGTGATGCCGTCAGACTTACCGGCTACTCACCAATGTTCTCGGAATTGCCAGCTTCCGCCAAATCTCGTTTCCGGGATATAGACCATGACTCCTCCCCGGCCGAGCCCACGTCATGTCGGCGGCTGAAACTTGGTTCTGGTCGAGAGGGCAATAAACAAGAAATTGGGTCTCGGTGAGTAGGTACTTACCTCCTCCCTCACCTTGTCTAACTCCGAGGGCTCCAGTGAAGTCTCCCCGTTACTTTGCCAGTGTATCCATCTGAACAGGGCATACTGATTCAGAAGAATTCTTGCCTAGGGCACACGAACTATTACACGAGCTGCGAATACTCCGCGACCGTTGCCTGGACTCGAGACCTTGCCATGTTGTGTTGTACTTACATATAAAGCTACCTTGAGCATGACGGACTGCTTCCTCCACCACGCATGTTGGCGATGACAAGAGCCCAAAAATGAAGCCGTATGGTTGCTTTGCGTCGGCCCTTCACGTCGGCTCTTGGCGCGTCGGTCGGTCATTGCAGAGGAGGATATCCCCATCGCCATGCCTCGTCATTCCCCTCGTTCGGTGAGTGTGATGCGGCGAATACGCGCGGAGGGAGATTCGGATGATGACATTGTGAGAGCACTGCGGTCTCGCTCGCTTTGCTAATCATTCCACAGGTCAGATGGACTAGGCTTCATATCGAGATCCCGTGATAAGCCGAGTACCCTAAGCCGTAATCCGCCCTGCATCATCACAATGGTTGAGCGATTACGAGATCATTTATACGCAGTTGCTTCTCTTGAATCCCAGCAGTCGAATGCGCTGGCGAGACGACGTAGCGAGAAGGGCATGATCCAATCAAGGGGCTCCGAGGTCTTTCCCATGTGTCGACGACGCTCCGTATCCCAAGTATTTAGTTATTTACAAAACAGACTGGGGCCATCTTTTTGAAATGACACCGGCAATTCCGCTGGCTGTCATCGGTTGTGCGATGCAGAGACTCTGGGTTGTGGATTGCGAGGCTAGGGGTGTCGAAATACCCGGCTTCGTGTCTCGTCTTCGTGTCTTCTTCCCACACGTCTTCTCCCGGTATCTTTTTCGTTGTGTGTTTATACGTTTGGTAACAAGTGAGAGGCAATATTTAAAGAAGGGATAAAAACCAGCCATATGGTTTAGCAGAACTCAGCCCTGAACACACGGAAACCCATAGTGTATGTTGTTTCTTCACAACAAGACCAAAAAGAACAGTGTCTCTTGGATTTTCTGTGAGAGGAATCCAGAAACTACGTCGGTTGAAACTTATACTGAAGATATCGTTGGCTTGGTATTTGGTCATGTCCCAACTGTGAGCGAGGGAGAGCGCCCTTGACGGGTGAACTCAAACGGGACAAATCAGGTGTTCGACTTGAAGTCCAGTTCATTACAGCAAGCAGCAATTGGAATAGATCAGTCCCCGTCTTTCACGATCGCAATTGCTTTCCTCGTGGCAAAGCTCATTGCGAAGCTCATAAGCAGGCTTGCTGATGTGGCCTTTCTCAGCGAGCGAGATGAAGCACGCAGATAGAAGCCCTTTAAGATAGGACCTTCACGCGGGTTCTATATAAGTGACCTGCTTGGTGTTGTTGGGATCTTTCAACCCAACATGCACGCGACCGTCTCTCGAATTCTGTGATCGGTTAAATCATGAAGACAGGATAATCAGGGCACATGGGGAGGTCATACTAGTAGCACCCACCACCAATCGTCTTCCGGTGCCCTTTTTGGCTTCTGTCTTCTTATACTTTGAGAAATACACGGCCGAAAATACTTGAAGCAACCATGGTATCCGCGTCGATAATACACGGACTTGGTAGATGCCATTGCCACATTCGTCGTCTCAACTACTGTGCATCCCGCTACTTCCCCCACTGTAGTGTGAAAGCTAAATAGGAGAGTCATTGTTCGACAAATCAACACTCAATGCAGTGCCTTATTAATTACATTGAATGAAATTATTTCAGCGTCATGCTAGACTTTGTTGCTTCAGAAGTGGTGGTTGCGATGTCAGACAAGCGGGCTCGTCCGGTCGTCCGAGAACGACGGGAGTGATCGGACGGTCCGGCATGACCGTCCCCGCTTGAGGCCGGGGTCCGGGCGGAATCGATCAGTCAGCACGGCAAACAACCCCGCATAGCGCCATCACCTCACGCCCTTCAATTTACAAGTCCTCATCTCTTGGATCTGACATCTTTCAGCGGCCTAGACTAGCGAGCAAATATCGAGTTACAGACACACAACATAATTATCAGCATACGCCTGGCCAAGCCATGTCCCACGACCTCAGCAACGTCAAAGCCCTGACCTTCGACGTCTTCGGGACGGTCGTGGACTGGCGCTCCTCCGTGACCGACGAGCTCAAATCACGGGCCTCTACAAAGCTGGAGTCGGACACCATCACAGCCGAAGACAAAAAAGCACTCGCCGCCGTGGACTGGAGCAGGTTCGCTCAGGACTGGCGAGACTCGTACAAGGAGTTCACCCACGGCTACGTGCCGGGCAAGACGGAGTGGAAAGACATCGACGCACACCACCACGACAGTCTCGTCTCCCTCCTCGAGACGTACTCCCTCCAAAACGTGTACTCGGCCGACGAAGTGCGCGACCTGAGTCTCGTGTGGCACCGTCTCCGCCCCTGGCCGGACTCCTCCTCGGGCCTACGTCGTCTGGGATCCAAGTTTGTGACGTCGACGCTCTCGAACGGGAACCGCGGGCTTCTTCGGGATTTGGATTCGTTTGGGAATTTAGGGTTTAAGAGGATCTTGTCTGGGGAGGATTGGAAGGCTTACAAGCCGAACCCAGTCGTGTATGACGGCGCCGTGACGGCGCTGCTTGGGGAAGGGGCGGAGAAGGGGCAGGTTGCGATGGTGGCGGCGCATTTGGGAGATCTTGCTGCTGCGAGGGGGCGGGGGTTTAAAACTGTTTATGTTGAGCGGCTGAGGGAGGAGGACTGGGATGTAGGAAGCCAGCAGTATGAGGAGGCTAGGGGGTGGGTTGATGTTTGGGTTAAGGAGGGCGAAGGTGGGTTTGAGGAGGTTGCGAAGAGATTGGGGGCTTGATCTATGTTTGATCAAGTGACGATTCAAACGAAAGTTTCGAAGATGTTACTTCGGTTGATAGATGTTCTGGGATTCGACTGACTCTTGCTTCATCGTCGGTAAATAGCACTATCTTACAAAATCTTAGACCTGTTAAACGCGTATACGTTGTATTCTTGAGGGTGAATCTCGTGGATCATTGGGGATTCATGTTTACAGTCGAAGGAAAATTGATCTCTCTCGGGTATATCGAAGGGGCCTCAAGACCTCAAAGATCTTAAAAGCGTCTACTCGTCCACAAACGCTAACTTAGCTATTAGGCCATGGATATGGAATTCCAGATGCTTGTCTTCAATGTGAGCGAGGGCCCAGTGGAGGAGGTCGGCGATGCCTAGCTGGGGTTGCTGCCGGTACTTGGCCTCCAGTCACTGCCATAGGCCGAAAACCGTTCTTGTTGCTCATCTTCCTTGTCTTGTTAAAACCTACTACTCTGAGGCTGCGGAACTTCTCTCGCGTTGATATTCTCGCTTCGCGTTCCATTGCACCGCATCATAATTAGTCTCAATCCGTAAGTAGGGCTGAAATTTTTTGACTTTAAGACTCAGGTAGAGAACCTTCTTGAGTGAGTCTACCAGCTTTAGTGGTGTTTGATAACATAGCCCTCTTCATGGCTATCATGCAGTCGAAAGCAAACGATTTCCTGGACACTGTATTCTATTTGGAGTACGATATTAGCAGTTTCTGAAGAAGCTTGACGTCAACTGCCTTATCTACAGTTACAACTTCAACCTCCAACCCAACTAACAGTGTTCAGGTGAGTGAGTTCAGCTCAATCTTCCTCCATGACGCCACGAATGTAACGATGCTCTGCCGCACGTTCTTGCCTGCTTTGGAGCTCTGCAACTACAAGAGTTTCAATGCTAACAAGACCGGCTTGTCAAAGTAAACACAAGCTTTAAGCTTCTTTACTTAAGAGTTAACTAGATGCTTCACTTTGTATCAAGAGCACTAACTGAGGTCATCCTGGGGGTATGCTTGCTTGGACCGGAGTAGAGGCGGAGGCTAGCGCTCTTGTGGAAGGAAATGACAATATCCAAGCTTCTTTTTCAGCCACAGAGCCAATCTCTTTTTGCGTTTAGCACTCATGAACCATCCTCGAATCAGAAACAGAAGACGGGAAAAGATTAAAGTTGAGGGGAGGGCTATATGGAAGAGAAGTTCCATCAGACTCCGAGCGAGAGGTGGCACGACTTGCCAATTTCAAGGCGTAGAGTGTGTTTGAGTAGAGTATGTCGATGGCAAAATCGTCCTTGTTGAAAGAAGGGGGTGAGATTGCAGAAATAAGGGGATGAGCTTGCAGAAGAGACAGGCATTTAAAAAGTGTTCCAAAATCAGAAGTCGGCCAGCTATCCCAAAGAACATCAGGTTCTCACGAGATTCTAGATCTCTTGGACCCCAGCACGTGTGCGAGTTCGATCGGGGGGGGTGGGGGGCAATGCACACTGCTCTCACCTGTCATGCTTAGAAGACTATTCCGACTTCCCATATTCGCAGACGCGTCTCCACAAACCCGTTCATGATAGGCTGTATGGATCTATCTCATGATGAAAGGTCTTCACTTCCAAGGCTTTTAAAAAGGTAATGAAATTGGACAGTAAATTTCCCGGATATAAGGTGTCTTCCATGGGGACGTTGAGGAGGAGCAGCACACCAGTTTGGCGAGCTCATGCTCTACGGTTCCTGTAGATAGTACGCCGAGTTCTCGCGATGGTACCATATTGTTGGAATCGGTTCAATAAAAAAGTAACGATGACTGCGATATCATCGCCAGTAGTATTGGCTCCCACCCGAAGAAGCCATATGCAGAGACAACCAATAGGCCCTATGGCAAGGAGACTGCGTCCGTATAAGTGAGTGATACTGTGGTCATCAAAGGCTTTTTCTTTTTTTCACCCGGGTAAGATGCTATCGACGAGATTGCGCTCAAATCATGATGATATGCCTGTGTGTATTACTTTAAAGAGGCTATCATGGACGGGTGACCCTGTGTAAGTTGCCTTCAGTCGATCTCGAATTCGTCCGTACGAGATCACCTCTCTAACATTTGGATAGATGTAGGCTTGCGAAACAAAGTCGAGCATAGGCACTAGTCATTTTCAGTATTACGTTGCCTTGTCGACAACCAAGTTGATTATTGATGACATCGTGTACAAGCCTACCCAGCCGTTGATAAGACCATTTGTACGGTTTATTGTGATCACGGTATCATTCAAAACAATGGTCTCTAACCCAAGAAGACTTTCAGACGTCTGTTAGAAGATACGCTGCGACTGGCCGATAAGACTACTTGCCGTCGAGCTATCCTCGAGGCTCCCTAGCTAAACAGTAGCAGCTTATGCATCATGTTCTCATGGAAGTGTTCGCGCCAATCTTAATATACCAATTGTAGCAACTTGAATACCAGTTATGAGTGCCTCAACGGACTGTCATGTCATCATCTCAATGCCGAGAAGATGCGACGTAACAGCCATCACAGCTGTTATATCAGAGGGAACTATTTACCAGCTCACATGAAGTACCTCAACGTCTGCATTATGCCACTTGGCAAGCATTACAAACAAAAGATCAAACAACCCATCAAGCTTATTTGCCCCTGCTATCAACCTCCGATTCCAATCCATCTCAGCACGTGTAAGGCCTCATTATTCCCATCCAACCGCCCAAACACGGCCATAAGGTAGTGAAACTCTGACCGAGTATACATCGGCCTTCTCGCCGCCATGAAACCCCCATTCTCCGGGGCGGGGCCATAAGCACCGGTCAGCTAGACTCCATCACACCTTCTCAACGCGGGAATCTTCTTCAACGAATCCTGCCACCCAGACCATCGGGCTCGTCCGCTCGCGTCCCAGCGGCCTCTACCGACAGCCCCCCCGCCCTCACTCCATCGAGCCCTCGACGCGTAAAGGCAGCTCTCGCGAAACACACTAAGGAACGCCAAAAGGTCTTCCCTCCCCGGGTTCTCCCCCACGCGGGATGATCGCCAATGGCACGACCGCTCTCTCGGTGAAGCGAAGATCGGGAGATATTCATACGTAAACGGCAACAATATACGCTGACGGGCAGGATACCACCACGACCTGCCGTACGCTAGGCAGACAGACACTGGCCGCGAACGCTGAAGGAACCGGTTGATTTTGAGTTCAAACTAGCAGGCGTAAACCCCTGAGCCATTGGTCCCTTCGGAGGAGGATCATACAAAAAAAAGACATGGGCAAACCTCTCTCTCCAACCTCCTTTCCGTCTCCATTCTCTTATGGACTCGTTGGCAGATCAAGACCGTCCCGATTATTCTTCGTAGTCCGCGCAATCAGATATGTGACAGAAGATCTCCTTTTCTGGTCCTCGGCGGCACTTCCGCCTCGGCTCTTGAGCAATCGCGGCAAGGGGGAACAGACATGTGCTCCAGAAACCCGGGGGTCGACTGACGGATCTACAGCAGCTGGCCCCCGTTACTGCATCCTTCGGACCTGGGCAATACCGGGGACGCGGAAACCGTCAAGCTCACGAGTCGTTGTCGTCGTCGCGTAGTCCAATACGAAAGACGCAACACGTTCATCGGAGCTGAATCCGAGTTCTTGATCCTCCGTGAGAGGAGGACCAACCACCGCCAGAACAAAAACAACCCCCCGTCCGAGATCCGCATGAGACAAGCGTGTCCGTCCGGAACGAAGACGATGCCCTTCCCCGGTGGTGAAGGTACCACGGCTCCGTCTGAACACCGTGCAAAACGACCCGCGAAGGTCTCTGGGCAGGCAGGAAGCGGCACTGGCAGGCCTCCATTTCCTCAAGGGCATAGCTTCCCACAAAAAGCCGCGCCTGCTCCGACAAGGGTCCTGACTCGCCGAAGCGGCATCCCTACGAGCTTCTCTTTCTCTCTCTCTCTCTCTTCTTTGCGCAGAAACCTCAGGTCTCTCTACCCTCAGTGCCTCAACAATGGATTGTTGTACTTCCTGTTAGAGCGCGCGAGGCACCTTCCACATCGGGGTCTCTGAGGAGGGGCACGTAACTGGTCAATTGCCCAATAGTCTCGGAGGGCCGGTCACCGAAAGCGTCTCTTCCTCCCACAACAGCAAACACAAGACGAAACCAAAAAAAACAGCGCAATATTGCCGGCGTCAATTGGCTCGTGGACTTTGTCAATGTCAGGGTCCAACGAGATGGGCATCTCCTGATGCCGAATTTGGAGATAAGCAGGTTGTATCCTTCCAGCAACAGCTAGACCGGGGGCCCCCAATATAGGAAGAATAAACCGTCGGTCTAGATGCCGATCGTCAGTTCTTCTCACCTGACAAACAGTCAGTGCGGAATCTGTCAACGGCAAGCCACAAGCGGGAGCCAGAAGAAGGCCCTTTTTTCTTCTCGTGCCTAACCGTGGATCGGCATCCCGTTCTCTTGTTTTCCCACAGCCCGGGGGGCAGTCAAAAGTCGAATGATACCCAACTGTCAAGAAGGGGGCTTCCCTGTTCCGAGGTCAATCACTAACACGGTATCGAATTTGAGGTGCTTTCGGTGTGGGCTCGCAGCGTCGGCGACGCTGTCGGGGGAGGGGACAAAATCACCAGCAATATTGGAATTACTCTTAGCGAAGATCACGAATTCGAAGCGAAATGCGGTGAAACGCAACCCGGACGTCTGGCTCTTGGGTCCAGTGCTTCCGGCGGTGCGGGCCTCCGGGGTTAACGACTTTCACGGCGTCTTTATCTGATCCTGCAATGGGAAAACTTATCAGGCGCGAGCCCTGGACAAAGAGAGGGGGAGAGAGCAGCAGCGGCTCTTGATATTGCCCGGGGGAGGAGGGCGGGATTGCCGTCTCAATGATACGCTGCGGAGCAATGGAAAACCAGGGGAGGTCTTGCCAGAGTTCCCAAGACGAAGAATACGGCAAGTGATGAGCTTCTGTTGGTTCCAAGCCAAAGGATCCAAAGCACTTGGCAGAACGTCGATACCAACGGGACAGGAGTCTGGAAGTTGAAGGAACACTTGGCGCGGTGGAAGAAGGGACGTTTGTGTGTACTGTGTACACCGAAGCTCTCACCTGGAGCTCACCTCAATTACCCCGAACCTTGACGCTCGGTGGGAACGTTACCGAACGGGCGGCATATCCGTGAAGACCCCCGGGAGACTCCAAAACCTGCAGCCCTTCGCTCTTTCGTTATGCTCTCTTCCCCCTTGGCTTTACCCGGCCGAAGCACTGTCCCCTCATCGGACCGAGCAGACACAGAACAGAGTAATGGAAGCTCTGCCAGCTTGCCAGCTCTTTCGAGCGATGTTGTCAGCGGAATTACAAAAACTCCAAAGATTGAGGTTACTCAGTCACATAAAGGGGATCACAACGATAAGAATTAGAAAATGAAAATCAAAAGGTGGGAAAAAGAGATCAACACAACGCCAAACACGTCAAAATTGGAAAAGCAACCACGACTCGGCCCCTCCTCCGGATGCAGACGCACGGATAGCATACCGGCTTCAGCTCCCGTGTTCCGTCGAGCTCGGGCTCTCTGCTGCGTCGTGCTGGCCGCCGCCCGTCCGTCCCTCTTTCCCTGCTTGATTCTTTGTCTCGATGAACTCCTTGAACTTGACAAATGCCGTAGTCTCGGTGACTCTCCGTAAGATGATTCTTCAAAGCCAGAACTGACATGTATGCCCAAGCGACAAGGTATACAGAACGATGTAATTTCACCGTACGCGGCCGCAGTGTTCGCTCCCGTGGATCTCCAGTCCGTGTGCCAGCCCGCCCGCTGTCAAAAAACCCCTCGATCCCGGAAGACCACCAGAAAGACAGAGCCACTCTTTTCATTGTGTCCCTTTCGGCTCTCTCTCTCCCTCTCTCTCCCTGGTTCTTAAAACGGGCCACCGAGCAACATTACCACGCAGGGTCTTGAATCGTGTTTCTCGCTGAAATCGTATGCTTGCGCCCGCCCGTCCGCGCCGTCCGTCTACTGGTTCTGGCCGCGTCTAAACGTCTCCAGTACGAAGCTGAAAAAAGAAGGGCTTGCTTGCATCCACACTTTTCCCCTACGGATTTACCAGCTCGACAGTGCCGGCATGAAGAAGAGGGGCGGCGGCGGCAGCGCAGCAACCCCTGGAAACTGGTTTGATTCATCTTGTTGCTGCTGGTCCTGCTTTCCCTCCCCCTCACTCTTCCTTGCGCGTCTCGAGACTTGGAGACTGGAGGTCCGTGTTGCGATGAGGGGTTTACGAAAGGCGTTTGGTCCGCGCCAGATACAGCTATAGCTGCGGTGGCTTAATGAAGACTACATGTTGCAGCACTTTTGAGTACAGTGTAGGCGTTTTGTAGGAGGAGACCGTAGTGCGGGTTCAAGAATATGCTACAGATGTTAATGGTGGATGATACAAAGCTACGTGTGAGGGTTACAACGGCCGTGATCGTTATTGCTCAAAACCGGAAGGCCTTGCTGAGGACGATATGAAGCATATGCCAATGATTCACTGCTCTCCGAGGCCCATGTCGAGACGTAGCCGCATCCCATCACTTAACAACTCTCATTCATCCAACGCCCAGCCCGAGACCCCGTTCCATAACCGCGCGACCTCGCATGGACCGTTTGGCAACTCGGGTCGCCTTGCTCAAGTCAACGATAAACTCTCTTCCCACGACCTACCTACCTATCTTCCCCCCCTCCCTCTCTCCAAAAGCAAAAAGACAACCACACAGATCCCGTCATCACAACCTCATAGTCCCATAGCATGACATCAGTCCTCCCTCTCCCCAAAACTTAACATCTCGAATCACATCACCAGTGGAAAATAAAGCCCATGACGGGTGCATGTGTTTTCTTCTTTTTCATCCAAACTCGCATTATACTTTTCGCCCAGAGTTGCTTATCTCCTCTTCCCCTCCTCTTCCATCAACCAGCGTTCCTTGAGAAGAAGAAGAAGCATCCAGGACGGAAACAACCGCAGTGGCGAGGTACAGGTATGGATATCTCAAAAAACAAAAGACACCGGCGGCGGCGTATTGTAATCAGCCCGATATCCTAACAGCCATCAGTCCAACGCTTACAGCCTATACCTCCCACCCACACACATACCCTCCATTATCAACATCCATAATAACAAGCTTGAAAGCACAACTCTATCTAGCCGTTTCTTTTTTTGTGCCAAGAATATTGTGACAAGCACGCGTTTAAACCATAAATGATTCAAGAAGAAAAAAAGGAGACGGCCCATCGTGAGTAACCGCCGCGGCTATAGCCGCCAACTGAAACTCACAAACATCTCGCTCCCGCCGATCATGACTTCACAACTTCCAACAAACAAACCATCAAAGCCAAGAGCCGACCACACATATCATCCACGAGACGAGAACAACATGAGCCCCAACAACAAGTAAAACCCAAATTCCACATCGCCGCTTCTACGCCCATCTCCAATCTGATGCCGACAACTAGCCTCCCCCTCCCCCAACCGTTCGTCACTATCTTAGTCCCGCAGGAAGCCAAACAACAAAACGCACTACCCTTAGCCTCCCCGTCTCCTCCGCGAGAGAATAGTGTGCGATATATCGCCCCCCCTTGCCCCGTCCCATCCGGCGCGGTGTCAAAGCGACATGCCGGCGCCAAAGAACATAAACAAATCAAGCCCATCGGAGTCGAATCCCACGAATGAGAGAAGCTCTAGAGCACAAATTCCTGGCCGTCAACACTAAACCACTGTCTGTCATTGGAATAGCCCAAAAAACATGCAAACATGTGTCAGTACCAAGTTCATGATTCCAAGAGGGACACAAGGACAATGCCATTCTTTATCACAGCCACATACCGGCGCCAACAGATAAGGCGCGCCAAAAAAACAAGCACACGCAAACAAACAAAAGTAGGGTTGACTATGGAAACATCAGACAGACAGCAGCCCTCCTCCTCACGGATAACCATGAACAAAAAAAGAGAGAGAAAGGAAACCATCTTCCCTTCCCCAAACACCATCTACATCCAACACCGTACATCCCACCAAAACACCTACCCGAAACAAGCCGTCCAAAGAGGACCAACAACCGCTGACCTCCCTCCCCCTCCCTCTTCCCAGCTAGCCAAAACCCTTCAAGAATGGGTGACGTTTGACAAACTTGATCAATGACCACTTCCATACGGATACACACGTAATAAATCCGAGGAGAACCGTCTCTGGGTCCGTGTCGTGAATCTTACCACCCCTTCCCAACTCCGCTCCAGAAACCCGGAAAAGCGCCAAGACTTTTCCTCGAGCGTTCAAGCAAAGACGGGAAGCAAAAAACAAAGCAGTTTACGCGTGTCGCTTAGAAAACCGCGGACCACATCGCGGTCTCTGCCCGCATCTTCTCGCCTGGATGGCATGACCGTACCTAACCGTCCAACTTTTTTTTCCCCATGTCCCTCCCCCCTTCCCTTCCTATGCGAAGATCCAAAACAAACCCCCCTTATCTCGTTTGATGTCCGCGTCCTTGTGCAAGTAGGTAAATCCCGAGCAGGCGGAAATCGCGGGGTACAGCGGAAGACCCGTGCCGGTGGTCCCCCAGCTCAGCCAAGCCAAGACAATACAAAAAAAAGGTGTCGACGCCAGAACGAAAAAGAAGGCGACATACTTTCCGACATTGTAACGTAGCGTTCCCGATTGATATATGATCTTCTTGCGTTAGTCATCCTGCCGTGAAGTCGGTTATCCGCTTGGAGTAAAGAACCCCGGTTCGGCGCGACGTAACGGTAAAACGGGCTGCAGGAAGGAGTTGGACGGATAACGTAGATTTAACGAGAAAGAAGTCTGCCTATCCCGGATGTTCTAGCTACATCCCACGAGGGGACCGACATCTCGACGTGGTACCTCCAAAGATTCTCTTCCTGGACCAGGAGCCGTGGCCAGAAGAGTAACGGAAAAAGTTGTTTCGGTATACACAGATTAGAGCTTGCTCCATCTCCCCATAGTCTCCCCTGCTTCATGCTTCTTCCTCCCGTCATCGTATCCCTTCCTCTCTCTGCCCTCGCGAAGAAGAATCCAACCGCAACGTATGGACAACCCGGGGATGGAAGTTGGCAAATACGTGGCATCATTTTCTTTTGCGACTGCCTAGGAGTCAGAAAATAAGGCCCGCGAGACATACTCCTGTAACACCGCCAGCTTGCCCTCATGTGTTTCGGAAAGAACAAAAAATGAACTCCCAGTCTGCCCAAAGGTTTGATTGAAAAACTCAAGAAACCTACGCCCCAGAATATGCCTCTCTCTTTTCGTGCGCCGTTCGCCCAATGGGGAGCTGGTTGTTCATCCATGACGTGTGGGGAAATATCCGAATCGTCTTCAAAGCAGAACTCGAAATCTCGTGCGTCCAATAGTCGTGGCCATGACGGCCTTTGCCAGCCGCTTCTCTAATGCCGGCAATCATCAAGTCGTGACGTGGGAAATGCTGTTGCCTCGCGGCAGTGGGACCCGTCGGGTTTGCGAATCAAACGGATCGGGGCGTCGGCCGCGGATCCGAGCAAGTCCGTCGATAAGGGAACAAAGATAGATTGGTGTCGTGGGCGGCATCACAAGACGACGCATTTGCTCTTGCCTTCCCTTCCCCTCACTTTGCGGCGATAGCGGTCGCCGCCCTCCTTGTCATCGTATCTCGCCGCGTCGCCGTTGATCGGTCGGGTGCTGCTGCGTCCGCCGGGTTGGGGCCGCGAGGCTGCCTGTCGCTGTCTGCGAAGTATTCTGACGACGTCGTAGAAGGCCTTCTCGACGTTTATGCAGTTCTTGGCCGAAGCCTCGACGAATTCGCAACCGAGCTCGCGGGCCAGGGCGTGGCCCTCTTGTGTCGATACCTCCCTCTCGGTGACTCTGTCGCTCTTGTTGCCAACCAGCATGATGGGTACGGGCGCCTGAGGACTGGCTGCGGAGATGGGCGAGCCGGGGTATGAGGGCGATGATGCACAGGATTCCTTGACTCGTTGGATCTGATGGTGAAACCGCTTGATCCGTGAGAATGACGATCGTGATGAGATGCTATAGACGAGGACGAAGCCTTCGCCGTCTCGGATCCATTGATCTCGAAGGGCTGTGTACTCTTCTTGGCCAGCAGTATCGAGGACCTCGAGCATGCATGCTTGGCCATCGATGACGACTTGCTTGCGGTATGAGTCCTCAATCGTGGGGTCGTACTGTTTTCGGGGAAAAGCACGGTCAGCGGGCGGCTCTTGGCGGCGACAAAGGCGGGGGAGGATGATGATGAGAAAGAAGGACCATCAAGTCAAAGACGAAATGATCACAGCATGATGCAGAGCAGGCGCGATGAGGGGAGGAGAGCAGAGGAGAGGGCGACTTACTGTTTCCACGAAGTGTTGCAGGCAGAGCTGAATCGTCAAAGCGGTCTTCCCCACGCCGCCGTCGCCCAGGACCACCAACTTGTACAGCACCATTTTTCCCGCCATGATGGGCAACTATCTGTGAGTGACAGCGATGGAATGCGACCGAAGATTGTGTCGAATTCAGTTCGCTCGATTGATGATGAGAGACTGCAAGTCAAGCGAGGCGAATAGAGGGTGCGATTCGCGGGGGCGGAATGGAGGGGGTGGTTCGTCGGTGGTTGTGAAGGTGGTGGTGGGAGGAAAGGACGACGAACGCCGGAGTCGAGTCGATGATAGGATAGGTAAGGTAAAAAAAGGGTAAGGTAGGTAGGAAGGTAACGAATGGTAAGGTAGTGGAGGTAAGGTGGTGGTAGTAGTAGGTAGGTAAGTAGGTAATAGTAGTAAGAATTGGGAGCAAGGTAGGAGCCCAAATCTTGTTGGATTTTGGAGCCCGAGCCCTGGACGTGGACAGTGGATTCCCCTCAGCAGACTGGTGGATTGGATCGACCGGACTGGACCCGACAGAAGTCAGTCAGTACGTAGCAGCAGCGGTCGGTAGTAACTCTGCAGTAAATTGAAAAGCCCAGGGCAGCAGTGAAGCAACAGCAACAACCTGAACCCGGCAGACCTGGAGGCAGAGAAAGTGCTGCGAGCACTGTGACCGGGGTGGTGCACCTGGCCTGGTGGTGGCAGACTCGACCCGAGGGTGCAAAGCGGGCTGCGGGCGGGTTGGGGCTGGGCCTGGCAACTGGCGACTGGTAGATTGGATTGGCAGGCAGTGGCACTCGGCGGTGGGCTGCGGGAGACTTGACAATCGAAGTGTCTCTGTGCCTCTGTGCGGTGCGTGCGGTGCGTATGTGCTTGCGTGCCGCTCTCGCTCTCTCTCTCTTTCCCTCTCTCTCTCGCTCTCTGTTTGGCGCGCGGTGGTTCCTCTTCTCTCGTCTTCCGTTCTCTGTCTTCCAGTCGGCGGATGGATGGGATGGTATGGGCTGCAAGCTTGCGAGTGGAGAATGGTAGAGCAGAATGGTCAATGGATGGACTGGCGGGTCTAGCTTGGGACCTGGGCGTGTGTTAGATGCTTGGGTTAGGGAGAAGGATGATACCGGGATAAAGGCGAAGCGGAGCGGAGGCGCACAGCCGACTGTTGGCTAGCTTGCTCGTCTCCTGAGAGGCTGTCAACCCTCGTTACCTCCACGCGCCAACCCGAGCCACCCAGCTCTGTATCCGCGGTGACTTGGGCTGTCCGGGATGGGACGGGGAAGGGGAGCAGAGGGGAGGGGAGGGGGTCGACAAGGAGACAGGGGGCAAGAGAGCGGATTTGGAGACTTCAACCCAGCAAGCAACCAGCACAGCTTTGCAAATCCAGGTTGCGGGTTTGCAGCGAGCATCACCAACAGCCCGCAGTCCAGACAGCAGCAGTGCCGGTGCCAGTGCCAGCGACAAGAGAGGTACAGGAAGGTAGGTACGTAGTGATGAGGTAAGGCGAGCAAGGCATGTACATATTGCGTAGGGGTCGGTCGGAAGACGTACCTGTTGGCGTTGTTGCCGTGGCCCGACGACGATGAATCGGTCGGTCGGTCGGTAGTGGTACGGATACCCTGGCTGGTAGGGTACGTTGGGTCCAGGTATGGGGATGTCGAGGCACGATGAAGACCGATATACGGTGTTTTTTTGTCGATTGTGATTGTGACCGTACGGCTGTTGGCGGACAGGGTGGTTCCCTTCGGACTGAGGGCAGGCTCGGTCGGTGACGGATGTTGTTGAGAGGCCGATGAGCAATGGACGATGAAGGATGGACGAATAGTAAGGCGTTGGCGGACTGGACCTGACCAAGACGAACCGCGCGGGCGTCTTCGATATGATGGCTTCAAGGTTGTCCGAGCAAGAGCCTCCAATGGCGATGGAGATTTCAGCGAAAACGGCCTGGGGGCGGATTCTGCGGAAGGATGAGCTCGACGGACATGGACCACCTAGAGACAGTGCTGATGCTGATGATGGTGCCGCGGCGATAGTGGATTTGGGGCAACGAGGCAGCGCAAGACGACTGGAGGAGGGGAAAGGACGAGGCAGGCCGCAGTACTGAAGTAGAGCAATCAATGGGGTATGAGGGGCAGATCCAAGGATGAAGCCGGTGATGGAAAGCCAGCAAAACGCTGTTTGGCGTGCGCTCGGTCCAGCACCCAAAGAACTGAACGATGAGGAGAAGGCAGGTGTCGGGCGAGAGAAGTCCACGTACCGTTGGTGTTTTCTCTCCTCTTCTCTTTTCCAGGTACGCTTTTACTACGTGCTCTGGAAAACTAGTGGGAGGAATTCGGAGTGTTATTAGTCGGGTGGCTGGCCGGCTTGGTCGGTGTTGAATGTTGAATCTGACAAAGCAAGGCGAAAAAATAAAATTTCGAGAATTCTTCGAGGCAGGAACGACGAACGACTCGGAAACCAGCACCTGCTGCCTGGATAAGATATTATTTATTTGAACGTTTTACTCGGCTGTTTCTCTCGTTACCTTACCTACCTTAGGCTGATTATGAGGCAACCTGTAACAACGGTCATGCGTAACCAGTTGACTTATTTCATCACAGGTCTCCTTCCTGCCTTGCAGCATGTGCTGCTTATTTCTTCTTCGTCTCTGCACTGCTCATGTCCTGATGCCAGATGGTTTGAGATTTGCTTACTTTCTTCTTCCTCTTCCCGTGTCGATGCGATGAGCTTCCACTTGCACTTGGTTAAATTGAAGACGCAGCGAACGGTTGCATCACAGACAGAAGGAACGGCCTGCTTGTATTGCATTTCGAGATGCACCTCCAACTGGCTGCAGTGACGGCAACGACACCCTACAATCCACGGCGGGTAACCAGATGCACCTTCCTTGCGATACCACTCACAGCTTAGGTAAGGTAAGACGGCCCGTTTTTGCAGTGAGCCCAGGCGGGTTCCAGGTTGGGCTTACCTCCAGCTTGCACCTCAGGCAGGGCAGACGGGAGGCGGGTTCTTTCCTTGCAGCAATTTTCGGACGTGATACCTTGCCCGAATCTGAGGAAGTCGCTTGGCTTGCCGTTGTTCCTTCCATTCTTACCAGCACCTTCCCACTTGGTCTGGATAAGGAACCAAGCGGCCTCCCATTTTCCCATCTTGCTTTACCTTACCTACCTACCTTAGGTAAGGTAGTACGGATACCCAAGTTGATCCTACGTCACAGCTTTTCCTTCCGACACCCAAAATACCTACCTACGATCCATGATATTTGCGTCAACTATTACGGATACTTGGGGCTGAAGCCTCCAGATCCACCATCCGGTGGCTCATGCTCCCGCCGCAAGGGACTGGACCTGGGAGCATCCTCCACATGCTCAGCCACAGCCAGCAAGCCCATCATCCCGTCTGCTTGGGGGTCTTTCTTGATGGAGCCTCAGCTGAAGAAGAGGCTCAGCAGACCAAAGTATGACTCGGCGGTTGGAATCGTGGCAATTGCCATATCAACGAGTTCTTGGTTCAACACTAATCGACGGTAGTGACGTTGGCAAAAGCTCCAAGGACCAAGACGAAGGAGGAAAAAGAACACACTGTCCATCGAACCAGGGGCCCTTGGACTGCAGTCGGTCTGCGGGTTCTGAGCTGCGTATTCCCTCTTCCCACATTAGCGCCATTGTCTTGACGAACTGGCCAGTCTTGGGCCCAATTGACAGCTCGCCTCCAGTCGCACATCACATCCCGCCGTGACGCAGCCGCCCATCCCTCCAGCGCACACACCAACACCACTCACCACACACCACACAAGCCGCACTCGTGCCATTGGTGAACACAAGCTCTTGTTGCCAAGTGCTTGTTTGGAGACGGACGGGATTCCACCTCTTTTCCACGCTTCTGTGTACATACCTCAACACCGGAAATGCATCTTGTACCAGTATGACCATACTTGGCTACCTTCGCGTTGTTGGGCAAAGGTACCACGGGTACCGGTTCGTCTGTCATATGCCGACTGTCAGCCGCCCGTTTACCGTCAATCCCTTTTGATGAAAATTTTTGGCCCTTGACAGGTTTGACAGGAAACCCTGCGTTTGTGTCTGGGTCGACTCAAGCGGCCGACGCCGCCTCTTCTCTGCCCTACACGCTAAACCCATGGCTGGCATCCGCGGAATCCTTGGGCTGCCAAACCAAAGGTGTCCACCGGTGAGGTAAAAACCCGCCGTTCGTGCAGCACGATCCAACTTAGATGGTAACGTCGCGGCCAACAGAGAGTCTCATTGAGCAATTGCGATTCGAAGCTGTGCTTACGGTCAACCTGCCACGCTTAACAGCTCCAGATACAGTACGACCACCGACATCAACCACCTCAGGTCTCAACTTGACCTGAATCTTGCCCTGGTCTGGCATCTCTTCCCGACCCGCACTTACCCAAGTCAGTTAATGCGTGAGGTGAGAAAACGGCGAGGCATCGAAGCTGAGCGAGAGGTGCGGCAAGCTGCCCCGGACCCGGACCCAAGCCCGGACCTGGACCGACCTCGACCTCGACCTGGGCCTCAAATCAGGGCACCAGGGCAAACATTCCGTTGACGACTCACATGGCAAAACGACAAAAACCATCAGACCGAGATCCAGACCAGTCCGGTTGCTCCAGCCCATCGACCATTCAAATCGTCCGCCTCATCAATTGTCTGATGATGCGATCTAGCCTACCGGTCTCAGCTTCCCGTGCTAATAAGGGTAGCTACCCCAGCTTCGCACGTCGGTTGGGCCAGCTATTGCCCGGTAGCTTCATCATCTCTCGTATCTCACATGGTCTGTCGGGGATCAACCTCACAAGAGGGAATTGAGAACGGCGACATACGGGCTCTTCCGGCATAGGTGGCATGTTGACAGTGTACGTATGTGGTTTCGTTCGCTCACTCGTTCGTTCATGCAGACGCAGAGAAAAAACGCCTCTGGCATCCTTCATCCCCACGCCATTTTTGAGATTGACCACTCAACCACAAAGAACTCGCACCGCGCACCGCTCATGCCACACGGCACCTACATACCTAGTCTCCTGGCTCCAATTTCTACTGGGCAATTGGCTCCCGTCCCCCCAAGAAAGCTGTCCACCGATG